CATCTACCGCACCCTTACCATGACTGGCAGCAAAGTGATTCCATGTCACTTTCATATTCAAATCATCCTTTAAAAAGCATAAATTGGATATCACGTACCCGCTTTTAAATTGTGCTGCGCAGTTGTCGGTAAACACATCAATTTCTTCGATGCTATTAAAGATGTCATGGCTATTAAGAATGGCTTAAAAAAAAAGTCCAAAAAGAGTATTTAGAGTGTGACAGATCATCACTCACAACAGCATAAGGGAGTACGAGCCTTGGCAGCAACTTGTGTGATCTGATGGAAATCTCCGCAGCAGATAAAGATCTTATTCCCGAATGGCTTAGGTGAATTCAGGAGGTCACGCAGAGATCTGTCGATGGTTTCAAAAATGTACCGGTGAGCCATCGGAGCCGTAATAAAAAAACTATGAGCTGGGCTGCTCTGATGAGTTCTGCCCGCTGAGACCCGTTGGTCAAATTCTAATACCCAGCGCCATCGCCGAGATAAGTGGTAGCCGAAATATGCTATGTGCTGTCGTGCCACCAGGCAGATTACCAGCGGCAATGCCGGAGCTAGCGACAGCAATAGCGACCTGGTTACGACTACGGACGTATGCGAGGATAACTTGTATTAGGAAGGTCTTGCCGTATCCTCCGGGTCCGTCAAGGAAGATCAATTTTGTTGACCGACTTTCGACTTGGTCCTGTAGTATAGACAGAACATAATCGAATACCGCCCTCTGGTCGTGGGCAAGTGTTTGTTCCCACTCATCTACAAGTGATCTCTGACGATTCTCATCTTTGTCGTCATCTAAAGTAGGGAGACCTTGATCGGCCAAGCTGGATCCCTGACGTCGAAGGCTTCGATCGATCTCAATCAGAGCCAGCTTGTACGCAACTTCGTGATCTTGAGGATTCAGCTCCAAATGGTCTTCGCACAATACATCACGGAAAGCATTCACAATAGGGCCGAAGGAGCTCCCATGTTACAAAGAATGACAAAGAAATAGCGGAGCCTCGGGCCGACCATGAATTGAGCTGCTTCCTTCAGCGCTTGGTGGTACTCGTTCTTATCCTCAACCAAACCGAGGGTGCGCGCTACCTGTTGATATGTCGTGCAACAGTCACCACCACGAGAATGATATGCCATACAATTTATTGCTAACTGTAAGGGAAACAAACATAGCTTAATAGATTTTCATTAATAAATTAATAAATATTAACCACAATTCTTTTACTTGAAATACTTCTACTGTTTATATAAATAATTATAAATATTGTTTCGACTTTTCCTGGCCTCCCCGTGGCGGAACTGGATATGCTATACAGATTATGGCTAACTGATAGGGTAACAAACATTAGTTAATCTATTTTCATTAATTTATTCATGAATATTTACTATAATCTTTTTTTACTTCAATAATACTTTACCATTATCAACTTATAAACTTAGCAACTAAAATATTTATGAAATCGTCTTTAATTTAATATAAATTTTCACCTGTACGACCCTAATCCTCCTTATGTTATTAATATGTTTACCAAAAACTCAGTAGTGAAAATACATTATAAACCTATTCTAATCCCTTACCGCATTTTCAAAGGGATTTTTTTTTTAATGGTGGCTTTGAAGTTGAGCTCGACATTAAGTTACCGACCCACAGTCGTAAAAAATTAATTTAGCAAGAAAAAGTTATTAAATAAATTGCAAAATGATAATTTAAAATCAGAAATTCAGCGTGAGATTCAACAGTGCCAGATTTCCCTTAAAGAAAAAATCACCTCTGTTAAAACTAACCAAGAAAACATGCGTAAGGAAATGGATCAGATTCATATAACTCAAATTCAACATTCCAAAGAGTTCATTACAATGAAAGAAACATTTAAATCAGAAATAAACGAACGTGATACCATAATCCGTGAAGATTTAATCCAAGACCTAGAAGAACAAAAATCCGAAATGAAGTCCATGATAATCCAAAATAATACTCAAATCAGAATCAGAATGTTTTTTATTGTCCTTCAGCATTACAATCATGCAATAGACAAAGTCAAGGTTTGATACACATTACAAAAATTAGGCTATACAGTATCAGAGTCAACGTTTAAATGCTAACAGTTTTAAAATCGTAAAATTCACTAAGGCTATAAAAGGGATTTTTACACAGCCAGTCATATAACCTTACTCTAATTACTTTTTGTCCAGGGATTTACTGCTTTCAGCTAGCTTATTAACCAACTTAAGACTAACAATATTAAAGCCACTTTTACATTTACTTAACCTAGTGTATGGTAACTCAAGTAAGGATTGGTTTCTGGTATTGTGTTCATGTAAGTCTGATCTGAAAACTAAAGAACCTATGCTATAATCTCTTTTTACATGTACTAAACAAACAAATATATACAGATTTATCACAGTCAAAATTTTACTATTACTAAACAAGGGTGTACAATGATCGGTAAAATACGCCTTATTTATTATTCTAAGAGCCTATTTTTGGATTAATAAAACTTCACTGGCATGACAACTATTTCCCCAGAGAATTAGGCCATAACTTATCACAGACTGGAAAAATACAAAATAAGCTATTGTAAGGAATCAGGTACAATGTTCATCAAGGACTTAAGCAGAAAAATTACTCTAGACAATCTTACACAAACAGATTCAATGTGAGCCTCCCATGATAGCGTACTGTCAACTACAATACCAAGGATTTTGATGTTATTTGTATTGATTTGATGACTATACAGGGTGATTGATATAAGTGTGCCAGCCGTTTTATTCGAAAACTATAAGAGATATAAAAAAAGTTAAATGGTAAGTGCCTTGGATTTTTTATTTAAAAAATTATAGTCAAGTCAAAAAAAATATTTTAGCCGCCATTTTTTCAATATGGCCGCCAACTTTGATTTTTCTTACGGAATACCCTGTATTTTATGATGTATTCCGAAAGAAAAAGTAATTTTAAGACGATTTTATTCTTGTGATTTTTTTCATAAACCTAACCGTTTTAAAGATAATAATGGTTAAAGTTTTGAAATTTCTGCTTGAGAAAGAGTTTCGAAGCAAGCATGCCAGCTGTTTTGCTCGAAAACCATTCAAAATTTCACAACTTAAACCATTATTATCTTTGAAACGGTTAGGTTTATGAAAAAAATCACAAGAATAAAATTGTCTTAAAATTACCTTTGCTACCAGAATACATCATAAAATACAGGGTGTTCCATAAGAAAAATCAAAGTTGGCGGCCATATTGGAAAAATGGCGGCTAAAATATTTTTTTTGACTTGACTATAATTTTTTTAATAAAAAATCCAAGGCACTTACCATTTAACTTTTTTTGATATCTCTTATAGTTTTCGAATAAAACGGCTGGCACACTTATATCAATCACCCTGTATTTAAGTGTACAGAAGAGATTCTGAGTCTTGTCAATGTTCAAGAGAAGGCTGTTTGAGCTAAACCACATTTTAGCTCTGTCTAGAGTATGTTCTACCTTTGATCTTAACAAGTCAGAATCTGGGTGAATACTTAAAAAAGTTGTATCATCGGCAAATATAACAGTGGACGAATCAATCACATTAAAAGCTAAGTCATTTATGATTAAAATAAACAGCAATGGTCCAATAACTGATCCCTGTGGCAAGCCAGATTTAACCTCCAAGCAATCTGACACATTACCACCTGCATCAACGTATCTACCACTCAGGTATTATTCAAAAAACTTAAGTTGAATACCACAAATACCATAGTAAACTAACTTTTATAGCAAAATTTTATGATCAACACAATCAAAAGCCTTGCTCAGATCACAAGCAGTGACCTGGGCAAGGCTACCATCCTCAAAAGCCAATAAGATGTTGGAAATCAATTTCTCTAAGGCAACTGTGGTAGACTACCCACTACGGAAACCGAAGAATCAAACTCTTAAAAAAGTTAATATCGAAATATAAAAACAAAAATATGATACTCATTCACAGATAAATCAATTGAGGTTGGATCAAGAACAACTAATAACAACAAAATCAGAACAAAGTGTCCAAGAAATACAAAATCAATGTTGACCTTTATTGATGTTAGGGGAGACTGATGTACCTTGGATCACTTTTCACATTTTATTTTTTTTTAAAAGGTTGATTAAGAGATATAACAACAGAAACAGTTCCATTATGAAGAACCGACATTCCTGTAAATTATATATTTATTTGATAATTTTATTGCTAAACAATTTTGAATAAAACATATATTTATAGTTAACTGATTAGTGATCAATGGTACAAGACCATCACGTACCATTGATCACAGCCTAGTGTACCTTGGATCATTGACGTTGTGTACCTTATGAGGTAAATAAATTAGGTTAAAGACATGTTTATGCAAAGAAAAGTGTCAGTATTTATTTTAGTAGAAATAAAACTAGACATACAAATATATCAAGCCTGCTTTTTATAAAAAATTACATTTCAAGTTGGTTCGATTTTAAGTTACAGTTAATTTATTAACGTTAAAGTTGGAAAAGTCAACCTGAAACCACAACCGTCCTTCAGTTCTAGCTGAACCACTTAATTCTACTGGGTTTGGCAGTTTCGCTAAACTATCTTCTGCAACTACATCAAACACCTCAGCGGATTCTTTTACAAACTTACTGCCGTTTCCAACACGTTTGTAAAACTGAATTTGATATTCAAAGTCATCACGATCTTTTGAAATAATTTTCCCAACATATTGGACTGGTGGACCACTTTTCTTTTGGAATCCCACTAAAACATCCTTCTTCAAAAGTCGCATTTTCAAAATTAATTTCCTCTTGCTTTTCAGAAATTTCCTGGTTAATCATATCTAACAATGTAGTTGTTGTGTTCCTTGCTGCTGGAAGCGTCGCCTCAGCTCCGGCAGTCGGCCTCGGACGACTCGCAGCACCTGGCTCGGTCGCAGTCGCACGTATCGGTCGCCTCCCAGCATAATCCTCCAGCGTTTGTTGCGCCGCTGCTCCGGTGTGAGCTGGTTGTAGTCGGCTACCAGCCGTAGTAGGACCGCCCGGGACAGCGGAAGGGCGTTCCCTGTGACCGTCTCTTCAGGCTCCGTCCGGCGAACAGGGTCTCGGGCCAGGCCACTCGGTCGAGCAGGTTCCCAGATGATGGGGGACGGTCTGCGGCGCGCTCGGCCCGCTTCGGCTCCAGCTGGTGCTCCTCCCAGACGTGGGCGGCGAGGAGGGGAGTCGCGACGGTGACGCTCGGGCAGGCGATGAGGCGGCAAAACAAGACGTGGGCGATGCAGTGCGGCGGGGCCAGGATGGTGACTGGGTGGTGAGGCGGGACGGCGTCGATGACGGGCTGGAGAGACGGGACGGCAGCGACGAAGGGGCGGAGAGGCGGGACGGCGAGGATGACAGGGCGGGGAGGTGGGGCGGCGATGACGACGAGGTGGAGAGGCAGGGCGGCGATGAAGACGAGGTGGAGAGGCGGGTGGCGATGAAGACGAGATAGAGAGGCGGGGTGGCGATGAGGACGAGATAGAGAGGCAGGGTGGCGATGAGGACGAGATAGAGAGGCGGGGTGGCGATGAGGACGAGATAGAGAGGCGGGGTGGCGATGAGGACGAGGTGGAGAGGCGGGTCGGCGATGAGGACGAGGTGGAGAGGCGGGTGGCGATGAGGACGAGATAGAGAGGCGGGGTGGCGATGAGGACGAGATAGAGGGACGGGGTGGCGATGAGGACGAGATAGAGAGGCGGGGTGGCGATGAGGACGAGGTGGAGAGGCGGGTGGCGATGAAGACGAGATAGAGAGGCGGGGTGGCGATAAGGACGAGGTGGAGAGGCGGGTCGGCGATGAGGACGAGGTGGAGAGGCGGGTGGCGATGAAGACGAGATAGAGAGGCGGGGTAGCGATGAGGACGAGGTGGAGAGGCGGGTCGGCGATGAGGACGAGGTGGAGAGGCGGGGCGGCGATGATGACGGAGCGGGGAGGCGGGGCGAGGATGAGAACGGGGCACAGAGGAAAGGTTAAGACGTGGACGGGATGGAGAGGCAGGGCGGTTGCGAGGTCGGGGCGGAGAAATCTGGATCCGCCGCCGAGGCGGCGAAGCGAACCTGACTCGGCGTGGAGGTGAAGCGGCCAGCGGAGGGACGATGGCCGGCTGGGGATCCACCGTCGGCGAGGTCGGTCGGTCGGGCTGAGGAGACTGCTCCGCTGCCCGTGGCGATGGTCGGGCCGGGACCTCCCCCTCCTAGAGGTCGGAGCGTTTCGGCTTTGGGTTTAACATTACCAAATACTTATTGTCTGCAGCAGATACAATGAATGATTGTTCCTGAGGGATGTGACGAACTTTCCCTTGCATAACAAGTAGTTTGGAAAGTCCAAACTTTGTGAAGGTTCTTCTGTTTCATTGATTGATGTGCATTTTATGTCTTCATTACAAAAAGCATATGGAAGTTTATCCAAAGGTAAATGGCTCTCAGGAAAACGCATTACATTTGCACTAGACAATTTTCCTAAATATTCGTTCTTTAGTTGGTACTCGCCTTGTCCACATATTCCTCTAATACATTCTCTTTGATAAAAAAAAAGGTCTAACTGGTAAAGGCATAAAGCGAGCACTTGAAGTTTTACCTCTTTACAGTGCAAAAATCGTTTTAACACAGCATTGAGGCTCTCTGCTGGGTTGATTGTCATCCCACTGTATGGGGTATACCTCTTGTGTTGTATGAGAACCCACTTGGCAGTTTTCTTAAAACAGAGTCTATATGTTTGTCAAAGTAATTTTAAAACTCCTGTGTCCATTGCTGTGAAAGTAAATCATACTTTTGTTGATAAGACGCTTCGCTGTCGCTATCCAACAAATCCCACACTTGACTGGCATATGTACTATGGTCATTATATTCCACATTCTTCTGTTTTTTCGTCCAATTGTTTTAAAACACAATTATAAACAATTTGTACTCCTAACACATATTTCAAATTTTAATACCGTTGGTAATTTGTGGCAACCTGTGGCACTCTTTTTATGGATAGTTCTTAGGTTCGTTTTTAAGAACTCCCGGTTAAGATACACTTTTCAGACTTATATAGAAGATAAATATGTACTCTCCTAACACAGGTTTTGAATTTCAATACTGTAAGGCGTTTGTGGCAGTCTGTGGCACTCTTTTTATAAATAGTTCTTAGGTGCGTTTTTAAGAACTTCCGGCCAAGATACACTGTTTAGATATACATGGTGTTTGGTACGTAGTGTGAAAATTTTCAACCGGTAAAACTACATGGAAAATGCAGAAAAATTATGTAAATTAAATGTCTATTATGTAATTCCTCTCAGAATAGGAGCCATTTTACGTTTTTTTTTCAGAAAAACATGTTTTAGCTTTGTTTTTTGGCAAAATATCTATAAAAAATTAAAATTTTTCCAAATATAACACCATTTTCAAAATCTATGTAAAATTTTAAATAAGATATGATATGTTTTGTTTTTCTGGTTGGTAAATAATTTTAATGCAGCTCGGATGAATTTAAATATTTCGATTCGCAAGAAAGTAGTAAAAACAAAAAGCTGCCTAGACCTAAAAAACGGTATGACCTAGAGAGTGTCAAATGTTACAAAAACTTGCCCATTGAATAAGGATTCCAACGATACCAAACAACCTTGGAAATGCATAGGGAAAGTGTGGATAGTCAAATGAATAATGTTGAAAAACACGATTGACCTAAAATGCTTTCTCTGGTATTTTACAAAGTTTTTCACACTAAACAAAATTATTTATTGATTAAAACAAAGAAACATAATGAGCTCCGAAAAAAAATTTTATTCACTCCAAAAACATCAAAGTTTATGTTTAAGACTTAGACAATTTTTTATCAGTTGAAAAAAACAATGTAAAAAACAAAACAACTTTTATTTGTCATTATGGACAGTTTTTAAGCTGAAAATTACTAAAATCTTGTGTTGTAGAAAAATAACAGTTTTTCACACAAAAAAAAATACTTTTTATTTAAGAAAAACAAACGCTCGTGATTAAATAAACCTTTTTCATCCACTTCAAAATAATCAAAGTTTATGTTCAAACTGCCTACCGCCGTTCCGAATGCACATTCTTGAACTTTTCCTCATTTCTCCAACAGTTACTTTGAAAGAAGTTTTTTGTCTTAATTTTGCGACACCTGCTGTTATTCTGACTCTTAGGTCTTGTTCAGACTGAATGGGCGTAGAATAGACTTCGTTTTTTAAGAAAGTCCCAAACAAAAAAATCCATTGGGGTGAGGTCAGGTGACCTAGGGGGCCAAGCGACCGACCCACCTCGTCCAATCCACGTAGGGTAGTTCAGGCTTAGCCAATCCCTCACTTCATTTGTGTAGTGAGGTGGAGCACCATCATGTTGAAATATAATTGTATTTCTTTGCTCGACATCAACTTCATCTAAAAGAGTCGGAAGAGTGTGCTGTAGAAAATGCAAATTATCTGTCACCGTTCAACGTTTCCTCAAAAATGAAGGGACCTATCAGTTGGTCTCCAAGCAGACCTGCCCAGACATTTACTCGAAAGCGTCTTTGAAATGACCGTTCCTTTGTCGCCCTTGGGTTTTCTTCGGACCATTGGTGCATATTATACCAGTTAAAAGATCCTTCTCTCGTGAACAAAGCCTCGTCGGTCCACAAAATCTTAAAAAAAAAAAACTGTACTGTTCCATGTCACTGTTTAGCAGCTATCGGCAAAATTGAACTCGACGATCAAAATCAGTTTCTTCCAAAGCTTGTACAGGAGTAAAATGAAAGGGGTGCATTTTATCTTTGTGTAAAATATCCCATACTTTCCAATTAGACACTCCGATTTCTCTGGAGACCTCTCTAGTACTAGTTTCCGGATTGCCACGAACAATATCCAAGACTAATTCTTCTACGCCCACATCATGTAAACAGGACCTACCTCAGAGGGGTTTTTTTTAACCGTGCCACTCTCCACAAGCCGCTGATGCAATCTTGTAAAGACTGATGAGCTAGGGATTCGTCGGTCCGGGTATCGGGCTTCGTATTTTCTTCTTGCAGCAAGTGCGTTACCATTACAATAACCGTAGATAAAATGCATCTCTGCGTATTCTTGACACGAGAAATCCATGATGGCTAAGACACAACCACAACAGGTAAACTGACCAAACTGAAAGTAGAAATCATGTTTTAATTTATTTTGTGAATTATTTTTATAAGGGCTTAGCTTTCTCCTATGCAGTAAATAAAACTGCATTCACTACTGATAGGGAAAAGAGAACAAGATTAGATTTTCAAACACTGATAATTTTAATATTTTCAGATTGAAATCTACAATTAATTGAAACAGATATAAGATATTATGATAGAAAGGAAGATGTATCTCTACAAAAAAATATTCTATAAGCTATTAATTTATAAAAGACGGGAGAAAGCATTTTAGGTCAACCGTGTTTTTCAACATTATTCATTTGACTATCCACACTTTCCCTATGCATTTCCAAGGTTGTTTGGTATCGTTAGAATCCTCGTCAAATGATCAAGTTTTTGTAACATTTGACACTCTCTAGGTCATACAGTTATTTAGATCTAGGCAGCTTTTTGTTTTTACTATTTTCTTGCGAATCGAAATATTTAAATTAATTCGAGCTGCATTACAAATTATTTAACAACCAGAAAAACAAAACATATTATATCTTATTTAAAATTTTACATAGATTTTGAAAATGGTGTTATATTTGGAAAAATTTTAATTTTTTGTAGATTTTTTTCCAAAAAACAAAGCTAAAAACATGTTTTTCTGAAAAAACTTAAAATGGCTCCCATTCTGAGAGGAATTACATAATAGACATTTAATTTACATAATTTTTCTGCATTTTCCATGTAGTTTTACCGGTTGAAAAAATAATTGTATTCCTAACACATATTTCAAATTTCAATGGTGTAGGTCGTTTGTGGCAACCTGTGGCATCGTTTATGTGTCTTATGGAGTAATAACATTGTCAGTCAGTCTGTCAGCGTTTTAGACACTCCCGGTTATGTTCAAACGTGAAATATGACATATCAAAATACTCACGACTAAGTTGTGATTCTGCAGGACTATGATTTTAAAGTCTTCTTAACTCATAACTGGAGATAAAAAATAAGTTTTGGAAACAAAGTTTACTGCTTTTAGCACTAGAAAACTAATTTTATGTCTCACTTCAAAACAACACCACTTTAGCAACCAAACTTAGGCACCTGCTGCACTCTAGTGGGTGATCATTGAACTACTATAGTTATTAGGGCACAGATGGCAGCACCTGTCAATAAACTGAAGGGTGATCCAAGGTACACTATTATCAAGGTACAGTCGTCGCGATATATCTTGAGCTTTGGTCTACGTCATTACTGGGAGGAGTCTGCTCGCCCGCTCAACGAATGGTAGGCGCGCGACGTTGTACTAGCCGTACGATAAACATAGCCCCACTCACACAAACACTACACCTTCCCCCCGCACCCTTCACCCGTGGTTGTGCGCACATCACGGCGCTGGGCAGACACAACCACCTCTATAGACGCCGCTATGTCTGAAGGCTGTGACTGACGCAAGACTGACGAATGTGGTGGCATAATCACAGAAATTGTATTAAATTTTAACATATTTTAATATAAAGTATTGAAAGGAAAGTAATATTACTGTTGTGAAGTAAAAAGTGACACTAGTCCTTCTATAATTTTTTAATGTAAACAATTACAAATGAAATGCCGAAATTACTGTGGAAAAATACATTTTACCAATTCTCTTGGTTTAGTAAGGTAATTAATTAAAGCCACCGAATCATTTTCTTGAAGAATACAAAATTTGAGCGCGCACTGAAAAATTTAAATAGATAACAAGCCATGTAAGTTTTTTATAGGCTATATCTATTATAAGTATAATGGTTGGATTAAAAAATAAAATAAAACTTACATTCAACTTCAATCAGAATCACATTCCATCCCTTCGATTCCAGAGAGGTCGGAGTCAGGTTCGTCAGGGTTGTCACTGTTGTATGCATCTTCGTCGTCCTCACTATCAGGTCCACCCAATGCAATAATTATTGGGTCAATGCGTTCATCCATAATGTGGTCGGATTCCCAGTAATCGGCCTCAGTTTTTAATACATGACGACAAAGTGGCAACCAGTCATTTTCTGTCATGGAACCAAATTTGTCTTCACACAGTTTTTTTACGTCGGCGATTTTGTATGTTGTGTTTCGACTGGCAACCCAACCCTTCACTATTGCCCAAATGTTCTCAATCGGGTTAAGGTCTGGGTGGTAGGGTGGTAGTCTCAAACAGGTATGATTATGCTTAGACAATATTTCGTCAATTTCATACTTTTTATAAGCCGGTTTGTTTCGACATATCAGTGCGTAAAGTGTTGGTTTCAACATGTCATTGGTATAAGCAATGTTCATTTTGTCCAGCCAATTTCTCATCTCCTGCTTTGTAGATCCACTATTAGGGACTTTTTCAATAACAGTGTTATGGTAGGGGGCGTTGTCAACAACTACCACGCTGTTCGCAGGTAGATTAGGGATTAACAGCTCTTCTAACCATTTTTTATAATTTCCTTTATTCATATTGTGATGATAATCACCAGTAGTTTTAGATGATTTCCACATCAACAAAGCATTTGGTATAAATCCCATTTCCCTCCAGCATGAATGATTATTAATCTTTCTCCTTTAGATATTTGTTTCATATATCCTTGGATGGAATTGTCGCTCCATGATTTATTTTGGACGTGTGACGAAAGAATGTAAGTTTCGTCCAAATATACTATAGGTCTTTTTTCTTCCCTGTACTTTTTAATTTTTTGTAAATATTCAATTCTCTTTTGGACAATATCAGGTTTCTCAATCAAGATTTTTCTATTACTTTTGGTTTTTTGCCACTTAAATCCCAATTTCTTGATTATCTGCCGTACACTAGTGTTTTTCCCTTGGAAATTTATACTTTCTACCAATTTTAAACGAATTCCATCTACAGTTGGACATCTTTTCTCGTCGATGTAGAAATTGTGTATGATTCTTCTCACTAGTGCTTGGTCAAAATCGTCTAGATCAGTAATATAGCATTTTTTATTTCTTTTCTTATCAGGTGTCACAAACGACGTACTTGCACCAGAATCGACTACAGCTTTTTCCCGTTTAATTCGTTTCACTGTACTTATTGATGTGCCAGTAGCCCTGGCCGTTCTTTCCTGACACTTTTGAAGGGGAATGGTTACTGAGCCGTTTTCCGCTTCAGATGACATGAAATTTAAAACATTGGCAATAACCTCTTTGGTCTGACTATGTATTTTTTTGTTCTTGACTTTAGACACAATGGGAGGCATTATTGTTACTTTCAGCACTCAAACACTGACATAAACTATAACACAACAAAGTACAACACTGAAAACTATGAACAGCGGTAAGCATAGATGTTAAAACAGCAATGATTCGTTCAACCAAATGATCAAGGTGGTTAACTGCGACTGAGCGCCGGCCGGGCCGCCGAGCGGATGTTTTCAGGCCTGTGTAGTACAAGGTAGCGCATGCGCTGAACAACCTCCCCACCCCGAGTCAGCGGCTGCTGTTCAAATTACAACCGTCGTCGCAGCTCAAGATATACCGCGACGACTGTACAACAGTCTCCCCTAATGATAAAAAAAGGAACTAGGCCAAACAAAATATGTGTTCAAGCAGATGTAGGCCTACACCAAATTACTGAAGAATGTAGTAACGATTCTACTTCTGTGATCTTTGTTGAAGACATTGATAAATATCCTGAAAAACTGGATGACTGTAGCTCAGCAAATGTTAATAATTGTAGTGTCACGGACAATTTATCCTACAACTACCAGCCTACACCCCCTATTCAAGAAACCTCAAGTTCAGATATGCCTGGCAATATTGAAAACTCTTCAACCTTAACAGTAATCAGTGAATATGAAGGGCTTATGATTAACGAAAAACATTGTTTTAATATTTTGACCAAAATATTAATGACATCAGCCTAGACAATTTAGACAGGAGTACAGGTAGATATAAAGAGCGAGAATTTTTCCCCTTACTTCTTTTCAGAGAAAAACTAAAATAATTCTCTTCTTGTTTCAAACTCGTTTAGTACGATATCCCACCAAAGTAGTTTAAATAACGAAACCAGTGACGTGGCCTCCACAGAAACTTTTCTCCTGATGAATTGTTTTTGCGCAAAACTTGTGGGCTCTTTAGTAAAGCAGCAAAATCAAACAAGTCTTCCTGTTCCATTTCTACAACTTACAATTTTTTATTTGCGCATCTAATAAGAGCCAGCCAATCATGGAGATGTGCAATGAGTGACTTTGGCTTCTTTTTCTGCCCTTCTATGGCGGAGTGGTCTGCATCACATTCCATGTGAGTATGTGTCCAGGTACAAGGAACTTGTGATGTATTTCATTGATGGTTGGTTTTACCTGTAACAGGTAAATGACAGTTTTTACACTGTCTTGTAAGTCCAAAATTTGTTTATATATGCACGAAGCCATTTCATTAGCAAGCCTAAGACAGTGTAATATTTCCCTTACCGAGGTAGGTTTACCACTATCACTGTGCGGTGTTATTATAATAAAGAGTAAAAGGTCGAGGGTTTTGGTATAAAAGATTTAATTTATAGATTTAACTTATTTCCAGATGTAAATAAGACGATGCCAGCCAGTCTAGTACTTGTCTATCAGTGGTTGATGAGCGCATTTGGCTCTTTAGTTATTTTCTTGACTGTAGTTTAGTATGCAAGTTGATCGTGAGGTTTGGAGGAAGCCTTTATTTAAACGGCAAAGGATCCAAACATTGCCGTAGGGCCTTCAATGGTATGGTCCAACATTAAGCTAGAACTTTACAGTAGCCTAGGCCTAGTCAGTTACAGACTTTTTCACCGTGCGTGACGTGTAGGGGAGGTAGTGCGAGAGAGACAGAAAGTCTCTCCCACCACGTTTCCCTTCCAGCCGTCAAGTACAGTCGCCTCCAACCAATGCTCCAATACACTCACTCACTGCTGCACTTCGTAGTTGTAGCGGATTAATGGTATTTGAAGATTTTGGTTTTCTCGTCATAAATATTTATTTTATTCATATTACCTGCAACTATTATATATTTTTCATGTTTATAAATGTCATCATTTATTTCTACCTGACCTCTGCTTAGTGCACAAACGAGATCCACCCCACTGCACGAGGTCTTACGCTCAATATGAAAAGACCATATGTCTTTGTCGCCTTTCAAACTTGAAGCCCAAGTCGTAGTGAAGTCGTCTTGTGGTTCGATCGGTCACATGTGGTAGGTCTGGATCTTCATTGATCATTTGTGCGACAGTCTTTGATGTAGGCGGAATATTTTTCCTGTAAAGCTCATGGGCCTTCTTTCTGATGGCAGTCAATGTAGACTTTCATGCGAGTTTTTTGTCCCTGCCGATTTGGTCATTTTTTCTCCGGGGTAACTAATGGTCCGTTGTCAAATTCCCTTTTCAGCTGTTCGATGGTAGATCTGTTGGCACCAATTAAATTGGTGCTCGAACTCCATCCACGATGTTCCTCTTGCTCATTGATTATCCATACGAAGCACTCCGTGAACGTGTAAAATAATTCGCCGTTCACCACTTAAATACGAATTATGAGTTCGACTCGATACATACTTTTCGGGTGGCGAGGGTGTCGGTTCTGCCATAGTTGTTCACACGACAAATAAAAACCACTAACTTACCGAAAAGGATTTCGTTGCCAAAGTTAAGGGTTGTTTGGTTCAATCGCTATAATGAGTCCCGTTACAATTAGTCACCAGAAGCATCTGTTACATTCCAAAGTGTCAAGATTCTGAAGATTCGTTACTCATCCCTAGTCCAAATACTCTACATGTCGTTACAATGAGTCCACCACAAACATTCAAATGAATCATCACAAGCCTGAGTCACGTGACAGAGTGTCAAGATTCGTAACTCATCCCAAGTCCAAATACTGTGCAAGTCGTTAATAGATTACTATACGTTAATCCGGAAATGAGTGAGGGCAACATAGTGGATACAGTTTTTAAAGTTAAATAGTGGTACTAATTTGATCAGACTCAACTTTGAGAATGGTCATCTGAAACATTTGAAGGCTTCCATGCACGAATGTTAGATAAAGTTCATTTACTGGATCTTCAAAAAATGCAAGTAACGATGCAGGGCAGTTTTCGATTGATAAGAAATACGACTTCAATGGCTCAAACATCATCAGTATCCTTTCCACTGCAGGCATTAAGCTCAAAAATCTTGTGTTTCCGTGTGAAAGCATTCTTCTATACTCAACTTCTGCAGATTCACAAAACTCTTTTAATGCGGTCACTCTGACAGTATACTGATAAAAGAATTTGTAAACTTTGACAACAATCGCCTCAACATCAACAGGCATGGCATCACAAGCAGTCTGCACTGTGTTATGCATAATATGAGCAGAGCAGCCAATGCCAAGGATTGGTCTTGACAGAGCCTTTTGCAATTTTCGAAAAACATTGCCTTGGCCATGCCTTTTTACTCCACCAAAGTTGGTATTAGTGTTATCAGCACATAGACACACAACTTTGGAATCAACAGAGAACTGTTTGATGCATTTTAAAAGATGTTCTACTAAAATATCAGATGTTTCTCCCGGAAGTTCATAAAAAAATAACAGTTTTACGTTAACACCTTCATTTTGGTTAAAATAACGGACACATACAGGAGTCAATTTAACATCTTTTCTGTTTGAGCTGTCAATTGTTAGTCTGAGGAAATTTGCATCCTTGAGATCTTTGAGCAGTTTGTCAAATATGTAAGGAGATATCACATTCACAATGACTGCTTCGGTCTTTGTCCGAGCCCCCGAAAATTTGGGCTCAAACATCTTTTTAATGAGTTTGGAAGTGCAATCAGACGTTTTAAAACTAAGTCCGTGCATTGCGGTATGGTAGGCAAAAGTCGCCTCTTTTGCTGCACATTGCAAGTCAGCTTCTGTGACATCAGTATTTTTAAAAAACGTTTTAATACTTGCCGAGGATGTTGCTGGATTGGCCTTTTTGTGTCTCTCACTCTGCAAGTGATTTTCTATGTCGTATCGTCCTCTATGCTCCACCGAAAATTCAGAGTTGCACGTCAAACATCTCACGCGGTCACTGCTGTTTTGACACAGTTTCAAAAACTTGTACTCTTCTTTTAATTTGTCAGTAAAAACACATTTTCGCCTTGGCATTTTGTACAGTTGAACTTACAAACTGAACACTATAATAATAGTACAAAGTCACTTAGAACATTAGGCACACAAAATAAGAGTTATTTTTAAACCAACTACCATGTAACCAACACAATACGAATACAAACAGTGCGAGTCGTCCGCTCTAGGCGCTGTGTGGATTGCGACTGTGAGTAACCTTGAGCTGGTGGCTGGAACAGACTGACACAGACAGCTGGCAGTGAGCGCGCAGTTCTGACAGTGTTACAAAGCTAAGTTGCCGCGCGGCGTAAAATTCCCCAATTAGGCCACGTTTTCAGTTCATATTAGTGAAATCCGGACATTTCACAGATCCGGACACCAAACCGGACACGTGTT